TTTGATTGATTCCAGAAGGACCTTATGGGTTTGCACCACTACGTCGGGGAAAAACATATTTGGTTGATGGATTACGGCATTTGATGGATTTCCACTATAACCACCATCGTCGACAACAAAGAGTGTCAAAATTTCTGGTAAACTTTGATGAACAAAGTTCTGGAACATCACCACATCGTCGTCGTCGCCTAGCTCAAATAAATTTTGATTAGAATTATTTTATAAAATAACCTGAAAGGACTACGAAAATTTAACTTTTTCGCAACACGTTTAACCAAACCAGAATGTGTTATTGGCGAAAACAAAGGTGATATACATATTACATATACTCTATGGCTCTATTCATCGTTTGGAATGAACTGCCACTTTGAACATACATGGAACCATTATCACTTTGACGTGATTTCATATTTGTGTTAAGTGTTGTGATGATAGATTGTGTTTAAAAGTTAAGGGTTGTGAGAGTAGAAGTGTTTGATTTTATAGAGAAAAACTACAATACAACATTTATATATATGTATATATATATATATATATATATACAAACACACACACACACATTTGGTCATAAAACAGACAAAATACCAATGAAAATCACCCTCAATTTTATTGAAAAACATCCATGAATTGTCAAATCGGTGCATCATAGGATATCCTCGCTAGAGAACAAAATAGGAGTCAAATCGCCCCTGGTGACAATCATAAGGTAGGTGGGGCAATCCCACTTTTTCGGGTAAAAAAATATTTGATTTTTGTCCCCAAAATCATATGCATATGGCCATATGGGACCCTTCCATACAACTATGGTCAAATCGCCCCCTGAGGGTGATTCTAGTGCTTATTTTGTTAAAAATTATTGAAAGTGATTATTTTGTTAATGTACAATGTATAAATTGATTATTTTGGATAATTTTCCTTTCAAATTGAACAAATTTTGATTAAAATTTTATGACCCGTTGCGTTATATGGGTAAACAATTAGTATATCCATATATACATATTATAAATATATAATTAAAAATCATAAAATAAAGAAAATAACCATAATACCTTCAACGGAAAAGATAACGGACATTATCTTGAGAGTTAAAATATTTGACAAAAACTCTTAAAAATCATTTTTTATACATTAAATATTGTTTATTGGTGCATATTACTTAAAATTGCGCGTATGTACAACTTACTAAAAATTCATGTTTGAATTCGTGTAATTAACTGTAAATAAACATAATCAAATAGAAGATAAACATCTCATTTTAAATATAAAAAATTTAAAATATAATTAGGATAATCATTGATATCTAACAAAATACTTAATTATTATCTTTATAAAAAATTATATTATTAAACCAAAAATGAATTAAAACAATATATATCAATATTTTTATGATATTTTTATATTTATATTTTATACAAAAATAAAAACATTATTATTTCTCAAAAGTACATAAAACTATATTATAATATCGACTGAGACAAAAAATAAATAAAACAAAATATTAATATCAAAATATATTTCGCTGCATTATACGAATATCTTTCTAATTTACATTAAAAAAAATTACAAATTATTTTTTAATAATCTTAAAATACAAGATTCCATTCGTTTCATAAAGAGCACGTTGAACAATAAAAGTTTGACCGTGCATTCAAAATGAATGTGGGTCAAATCTACGACTTGTAAGTAAATATATAAATAAACAGACCAAGAAAATTCAATCTTCAAATTAACCAATTCCTTCCTTCCACTCTCCCACCTACTTTTACCCATTAAAAATTACTTTATCTCTCTCTCTCTTATGATTGAATTTTTATATATTTATAGTATTTTATAAGCTAGATTTATCAAAAGTATTAAAAATAATTTTTAATATATAAAATACTAAATATTTATGAATAAAATATTAAAAGTTTTAAAAACAACTTATAATGCATAAAGTACTACTATTTTATACACATATATATATATATATCTAGTAGTACAACCAATGTAACCCAATAAATTGAGATATTTATGGAAATGATGAAAGTTCATTTATTATAATTTGAATATTTATGAAAGATGAATATGGTTCATTAATTATGATCAATACTTTATATTATACAATAATCAAAACTTTTATGAAATCACATATTAATAAAATGAAATGGACGGTTGAGATTGGGTTGTATTGGTTGCACAAATGTCAAGGGTTGTATAATAATCAACCTATATATATATATATATATATATATATATAAATCTAGTAGTATTCTCTATAAAATTATAATGATCCAAACACTTCTACTCTCACAACCCTTAAAGACAAAATACCAATGAAAATTGTCCCTAATATCTCGTCAAATCGGCATTGATTTATCAAATCGTTGCATCATAAGTTGTCTTCTTTAGAAGACGGAATAGAGGTCAAAATCGCCCTCATGGGGGATTTGGACAAAATGAGAGCTATTTCATATATATCATATATAATATCTTATTTTTGTTCTCCAGATAGCATACATGTAGGACTCATCCGTACCTTATAGTCAAAATCGCTCTCCAAGGACAATTTTGGTGGTCATTTTGTGAAAAAAATCTCTTAAAAATAGTCATTTTGTTAGCATACCGTGTATAAAGTGATTATTTTAGGTAATTTCCCTTAAATTAAATAGTATCAAGTAGATAAAGAAAAAAAAGTGACTTGTCAATGTCTTGTTAAAAGGAGAAAGACAATGCCTTCTGCAAATAACTAAGCTTTTAAATAACATGACACGTGATGTAATAGTAAAATCAAATTTAAAACCTTACGAGTTATGGCGAGATCATTACGTTTTTCACGTTTAAAGCGACAAATATTTACATATAGTGTGTATATATATATATATATATACACACACACAAATGTCTATGTGAGTCAAATTGAACAACAATAATTAAACAAGTTAAATTCATATATAACGATAAGCCAAAGAAGAAACACACATTTATAATTTGATATCAAATATACAAAGTTTACAAAAATTGATATCAAGAGATAATAGCAAAAAGAATGTTTTATTAACGATTTCATAATCCATATATATAGGGGAGCGATCAAATGCAAACCA